CACTGCTTGATTTTTATTATGAAAAGTACCATCCGTTCGATTTTTCAACTTTCTAAAAATATGTGCGCCCCCCCCCCCCCCAATGACTTGCAATCTCAATTTTGGCCCGCGAGCGACAAAAGGTTGCCGACCCCTGACTTACTGTTTCGATCACGCTAACCCATTGTGTTGTCACATGGCTTTGGGGCCTGTGATATCACACAGATAGTTCAATTGCTGCTAATATAAGTTAACCTACTGCAGAGGCGTAGTTGACGCTTCCTATGTGTTTATTAGTATAGAAGGGAGTTACAGTAGGCAGTTTATGAAGTTATGTCTTTTCGCTTTTAAATTCTGCTTTACAACGAAACAAGTGCACCCATCTCATTAAATTTCGTCATATACTTTTGTTCGTTTTAATGTTTTTGAACACGTAGTGGACATAGCGATCGTTTCAATATTATGTTGTTGTTTTTGATATTATTCTTCTTCTTCGTCATGATAAAATCGCTTTTATCTTCGAATACTGGACCAATTGCTCTGAAATTTTCAGTAGGTAAAGATTGACTTTACTTTTACTTATTTCAAAAATTTTTGTGGATTCTTCAAGAGATTCGTTTTTTATGTGCCAGAATGAAAAATAGCGACACCTTGTGACGTGAACGTTCTACATACATCGGACGCCAGTTTGTGTCCGACTGTACTGCTCACTTGGTGTGAATATATTTGTAGATTGTGATCTGACGGTACGGTAAACCGTACTGTACTGCGAACAGACGTGTCAATTTATTTGGGCGTAGCTCGCTTGTTCACTATCATAAATCATAAAAAATCATAAAATAAAATCATAAATAAAATTGCAAGGGGTCCGACATGGAATTTTTTTGTGGAAAATTTTGGAACTACTGTACTAGATGAAGGAGAGGCAAATGAAGGAAAAGAAATGCAAAGCGATTATAAAAATTTCTCACAGCAATTCGGACTAGATGAGGCAGAGGAAAATTACAAAAAAATAAAATGCAAAGCGATTATGAAAATCTCCTACATCCGCACGTATTAGATGAAGCAGAGGCAAATGAAATAAATGAAATGCAACGTGATTTTTAAAATTGCATTCTACAGTTTTGACAAATACTGACATAATTGACACGATCAGTAAAAACTAACGCGCAATCCCATATGATATTGATTTATAGTGGTGGTTCTCAATTTTTAACCTTCGCCTATTTTGGAACTCGTTATTCCTCCCTCAGTGTGCACAAAACTACTTTATTTGTCCAATCTTTAATGAAATCTCAGCTAGTGTTATACGCAAGTCGCACTCTCGTTTTGTACAGTTTAACTTTAAGTAGTTTAGAATGTGTAAATTAATAATTAAAGTATTTATAAATACTACAACGAATAGAAAACTCTGCCAAGAGATGAGTCACCTTCACTTCTAAGTGAGTGCTCGTTACTTTGCTCAGAGGTGAGTCTACTTTACTTCTGAAGGAGTTCTCGTAACTTTGCTTGGAGATGGGTCTACTTTACTTCTGAGTGAGTGCTCATAACTTTGCTCAAAAATGAGTCTACTTTACTTCTGAGTGAGAGCTCGGCACTCTGCTATGAGATGAGTCTACTTTACTTCTGTTCGAGTGCGCGTAACTTTGCTCAGATGTGAGTTTAGTTTACTTCTGAGTGAGTGCTTGTAACTTGGCTCAGAGGTAAGCCTTCATTACAACAATCTTTAATCACTGAAAATATCAAAGCAAATGGTCCAGTAACAAAATGATCCATGAGTCTATTTCGTTTTCGTTCATTTCTGGATTATTCCAAAGGTTATCACACTCAGCTGGAAACTTGATAACAACTTTAGGTTTTGCTCTTTCATGAGTTAAAATATCACGTTTTATTTGAAAGAGAAATCTACCGCGACCTTCGACGGACACAAAAACAAGATGGCGCCGATTCAAAATTTTCGTCTGAATCGAATAATTTACTATTTGATTCGAAATGTCTAGTTATAATAACTGTAATAATCATCTGTATGTTATATTTAATTTACAGAAAAAACGATGGATCTGGTGAGTTCGCCCTCCTTCATGATATATTTTGAATTCAAATATACTTATTCTACTGGCGTGAACATATAATGAACGTTACGCCTTTTATAAATGGACACGAAACGGACCTATGGATAGCTTTTTTAATATGTTGTTGTTGTTTCTTTTATTAATATTTCTTTTTAGTGGTTAAAAATTGTGTTTTCCAATAGAAAGCGTTTACATTTATTTAATTTAAAATCCGCTATATGGGAATCATTTTTGTGTGTGGTGACGTCATCAAAATTAAAATTTGCGCATCTTGTGGCAGTATCGCTTCCGCGTAGGCTGATATCTGGTGCTGATGCAAAGTCGTGAAGACTGTGGACCCGGTAGTCTGCTGTGACAGATTGCATACCCGCACTACTACACTTTGGCACATATAGAATCAGGCTCTGAACAACCATTCATTGATAGGTAGGACGGCACTATTACCTCGTAACATTACTGAGCTGGCATTGCATATTCAATTTATTATGCTATGGGTGATGTGGTCAGTGGCGTATCAACGTAAAATGACGCCCATGACAAAATTTGAAATTGCGCCCCCTTCACTGGAGGTGACCAGGCCTGAGAGCTTGAAGCTACGACGCCAACTCAGACAAGTCCAACCGCTCTAACAAAGAACATAAACATGTCCACTCATTCGGCTCTTAGAAAGAAAGTTTGGCAAAAACAATTCACGACGACAATAGTGTATGGATTATACTTTGCAAAAGTCGGGCGAAGTTAATTGAAGTGGTCAGCCAAAATAAGCTATGTACGTTAAAACGTGACTAAAACTGATTGAAAACGCCTTACTCTCACACAATTAAAATATGGTGACCGTACATTTGAACCCATGTACATTTGAACCCATGCGTATATCCACGGGTTCAATCTATATGCGGGTGCCAAAACCCATGGGTTAGGGTTAGTATGGGTTTAACTATCCGTGAAACAAAAATAATTCCATAGGTGCAATAGCATACAGGTGCAATTGTCATGGGTTCAAATGTACGTGGGTTCAAATGTAATGGAACCTTAAAATATAGCAATTATCTTGTCGCCAGACTGATAAAAATAGTCCTAATGAGAAGAAAAAAGCTCAAAGTAATTTTTATTTGTGATTTGATAAACGTATATGCCACGATCGTCGCCGGGTATTGACCCAGTAACTAGTAGGTTAGGACTCCATCCACCTGCCATACATCTGAACGGTGGCGTATTAACGTAAAAAGGCGCCCATGATAGAGATTGAAAATGGGTCCCCTAGATCGTTGGTTGACAATTTTATTAACTTTTTTTTATTGAAAGGGGATAACTTCTACGTTATTATTTTAAAAAATGACAGGTTTTGATTCTTTATCATTTAGAATTATTTTATTGAAAATTTTACAGTTCAAACTTTTCGTTTTTGAGCCCTTGTTCACAAAGCGCCCATGGCACCAGTCATGACTGCCACACCCTAGACACGCCAATGCATTTTAACTTCTCATCAAACCGGAGTTGACCCGCGGTTCTTAGTTTGTCGCATCAGCTTTCCGTTATCCGGAATTAGTAAAATACAGTATTTCAAATGTAATCGACAGTAAATTACAGTCATTTCTGAAGATGTTTCGTTTTTTAAATATGAAATATTCAATGACTACAGTAATGTTTTTAGTTAAATGTGACTTCAAATACGATTCGAATTAATTCCGAATAGTTGTGTATGATGCAGCCAACACCATTTTCAACGATCCAATTCAAATGGCCTAACCCTAACCTGATGCAGAAACTACGTTCTAGTGTGCACCATCTTGGTTCACATACTTCGAGAGTACCAAGAATTGAATTCTTACTTTTTATTAGAGAGAGAGAGAGAGAGAGATTTTCGTCAACCAGGAAAAAAAAATACTGAAAAAATAGCAACAATAAAAATATATACAATGACATGTAGAGTTTTTCGGTATAGACCGGGAGAAGCGATACGACCATACGGTCATCAGTTTTATTACTTACTTCTATTATTCATTTACATTATTAACCGTATAAACCATGCCTTGAATTGGTAGGTTTGTCTATTTAAACCTTTTGCCTGACAAATAAATATCATATCTAGTTTTATATTTCATGTGATTTCTGTACATAACCAAACATAATTATAAATTCGTAGATTTGGAATTTTTGGATTTTCTTTGTTATTGTTTTGAACCACTAGTGATTCATTCATTATAGATGTACATAACAACCAAAGATCTGAGTAAGAGCTTGGAAAGCTGGAGATTTTCACAAAGTTTATTCTTGAGGTGACAAGGCTGGGATTCGAATTTACGATATCTTAATCGGCATTCTATGGTAATACCAACTAGGTATTGTCAGAAAAAATATCTCAACGGTGGTGACACTGGTATTAGATTCCACGATATCTGGTAGGCTATTAGATTCACGATAGATCTCTAGACTGGTTATGAATTAGGATAGGATAGAATTTACATATTTATCCCGGGGAGAGGAAAGCCGATAAGACGGCTTATCCAAATGGCGAACCACGGCTTCTCGTCCGGATACCATTCCAAGTAGGGTATGGGATTAGTTATATTGTTTGTTTTCGGAAGCATGAACCTGGTGGTGGAGGAAGCCGTTCGCACATAACCATCCCTGCATGAGATTCGAACCTGCGAACCCACGCAGAGTAATTAGAGGTGCGGTGGCGAGCGTATTCCTAACGCTTAGCCCGTTGAGCCACACCGCCAGTTAGTTATTACCTAGCTATCAGTACTTTTATATGGCAGGCGGTTTAATGTTCTGAACAAGTTTTGGATGTGAACATTGGCCATTTTATAAACACCAACTCGTTAAAAAAACACTGCGATAATTTTGCGATCTTTCTAGGGTCAAGGGTCGGGGGAAACGAACAAACTGCACACCATCACACTCGAGTGCGGTGTGTTTCTGTCGAAATGGCGTCCGAGGAAACGTGTTTCATGATGATAAGTTACGAGTAACGTTGAAAGTTAGGTATTGTTTTCGGAATTAAAGATTGCAATCTGTTGGTGAACAGGGCAACAAGCTTAAAAGTAAGTTGATTATGATTTTATGATATGTTCCGCTGATGCTCGACAGACCTGACACCGAAACATTGATCGACAGAGAACTGGAGAAAGGGGTCTCATGTAGTTTCGTACCTAGCATACTTCTGGTGGGCCTAGAATAACAATATTTGCATGTGTCAATCCTAACCCCCACCTGACTACGCCATCCAAAAATTACGTCTCTACGACGTCACAGTGACGTATACAGTCCCTTATTAAACTCTACGATCTGTCATCGGAGACGCGCTCGCCTGCGCACCTGAAATCGAACGACTAACCCCAACCTGACTACACCATCCAAAAATTAAGTCATCACGACGTCACAGTGACGTAAAAGAGCCCTTGAAACTATACGAACTGCTATCCAAGACGCGCAAACGAGCACCCAAAATCGAACAGTTATTTCTCTCGTTTTCTCGTCGCAACGATTTCAATAGGATAGAGATCGATAACGCCAGTCAGTTCTTTATCGTCGGCGCCAATGCCATTTCGGGCGATTGTACGTATATTTGGCAAGCTCTATGACGTAATTGTGATGTCGTAGTGACGGAATTTTTGGATGACGTAGTCAGATGGGGGTTAGGATTGACATATCAAAAAATTGTTATGCTACGCCCACTAGAAGTAAGTTAGGTACGAAACTACACGAGACCCCAAAAACCAATATTTCTAACCCGTCAATTCTGCAATTTTTTCACCGTAGGTGCATTGGCATTTATTCTACACGCTAAACCTCGGATTAACTTTCTATGACTAGGGGTTAAAGCTATACAAACCACCAAAGTAGGACACTCGAAAGACGTATTGCGACCGAACGACCAGTGTGCGACCACGGATTTCAAGCCTTGAACATCGTTTCTGCTGCGTCGAGACTAGAGCATACGCAGCCATGCATGAAAAAAATTGGGCTTCTAATTGCATTTCTGACCGTCAGATATTTTAGGAACACGGTCATTTCGAACAAAACTCGTCAATTTATATACAAAGCACCGCATCACAGCAATCAAACAGACAAAAACATGGTGATCGCAAATTGGTAGACAAAGATATTATCAACGTATTGGAAATGCGCACCCCCCTATTCCCCCTCCTTTAAATGTAGAAACACGAAAATTCAAAGATGGTTAAAAGAAACACAACTCTACCCACCTGCCAAGTTTCATCTTTTTATCTCTTATATTTGTATGGATTTTCAAGTTTTTTAATGGGACAATGGGTAGTTGGCGACATGAAAAAATGGTCCGTTTTTTTCGGCCGGGTTTTCGGTCGTAACTTTATTGTTTGTGGCCGCATTTTAGTGTGATTTCGCAGAGCTATGAGGGGACAAGTGGAAGATAACGCGTGAGAAATATCGTCGCGGTTTGTTACTTTTTTTCTGCATTAATTAGATCAGGGGTGGGCAACTTCTCTAGTCGGCCGGCCAGATGTGGGAAAATGAAGTTTTCGGGTGGGGCTGGATTATTACAGGAAATACTTCGGTATCCAATCTTTGTTAAATGTTCGACACTCTCTGTCAAATTTATGTTTCTTGGGATATTCCATTGTTCATAAAACTTAGTGTAAAATCTAATTTCTAAAATCTATTTATCTTTAAATTCTGAATTTTAGAATATAAATATAACTGATAACAGTAGTGGGGAATGTTTACAACGCTCTCTGCTTTGACCTTATATTGTTTGTTTAACAAGTGTGCTAACGCAATTGTTTGTTCACTAAGGCAATTGTTTATTTCACCAGCTCGCACTGACAGTGCGGTGAGAGTAGAGCGATCGGCAACTTTCAGGAATGATACGTCGGACCACATTACAGAGTGTGGTTGGATACAGTCAGCGCGCCGGTCTAAATCTCGTCCCGGCCTGCGGGCCGTATGTTGCCCACCCCTGAATTAGATCGATGAAGTTGATGGTCGCAAATAGGTCGTGGACGCAAAGTGGGTAAGCCACCCTAAGTGCTCAAATAAAGCTAAACAAAAATGTGATTTGAAAATACAACCCAAATTATACAACCCAACCCGTTTTATGGTAGTCATTATGAACGTAAAAATATACTATAAAGCAATTTTTCCAAGTAAATTGCTACAACGCAAATTTTCACAAGGATTTGCCACAACATGAATTTTCACAAGAATTCGCCACAACGTCAATTTTCACAATGATTCGCCAAAACTCGATTTTTTAAACAAGGACCCGCAACAGGGCGAATTTTCACAAGGATTCGACACTGCACGAATTTTCACAAGAATTCGTCTTAACACGAATTTTCGCAAAAGTTTGCTACAATTGGAGTGGCGGATCCTTGCGAAAATTTATGTTGTGACGAATCCTTATGAAAATTCATGTTGTGGCAAATCCTTGTGAAAATTTGCGTTGTAGCATTTTTTAACAAAAAAATGATTATGCAAAATTGAATAATTAGAGAATAGGTGTACACATAACAGCGCTAGCCATAACAATTTTAACTGACGAAATGCTGCGCTTTTTGTCAAGATATGGCCATTTAAAATCTTCGTTCGAAGTTTGGAACTGTCCGAAGTTAGGCACTTTGACGGTAGAGCACGTTTGCCAGGTCTAGTGTAGTAACCCACACCTGGCTGCTTCATTAAAAAATTACATCACAATGACATAATAAGGCCCTTCAAACTATATGAACAGTCATCCAAGGCGCGCAGACGATCACCCGAAAACGAGCAAGTTATTTTTCGTGTTTTCTTGTCGCAACGATCCCAATATGAGAGGGCCCGTTACCGTTCGGGATCTCTTTATCGTCGGCGCAGATGCCAGGATTGTTTTAAAACAAAATATCGTCGACTGACAGATTGGTCAAATAATTAAAAACCAGAATGATAAACTATTTGGATGGATGAGACCTAGTAATTGATTTTCTAAATGTTTTTTGGCCTCCCTGATCTCCCTTGGCTTGGGTTGGGCAACCTCACACTTTCGCCCGACGCCGCTTCTGACTATATTTCATGTTCATTAATTTTTTCTATCTGTACTCATAATGGTATTTGGAAATAAACACTCAATTCAGCAATTCCAAACGGGTCTTGTTGCTGTAGTTTGGTACCACGTCCACAAGTAGGCTCGTGTAGTTTGGTACCACAAGTAGGCTACTTCTAGTGGGAGGGGCGTAATCATTTTGGTTTATGTCATTCCTAAACCCCACCTGACTATGTCATTCGAAAATTATATCACTACGACGTTACAGTGATGTAATATAGCCAACAAAATATACAGATGGTTGTCCTAAGCGTTTCCTCGTCTTAACGAATCCTAAATAAGAGAGACCGCTGGCGTTGATGAGTTTGTTATTGTCAACGAAGATACCATTTTGGCCAATCGTAGTTATACTTTGACAAGCTCTATGGCGTGATTGTGACGTTGTTTTTGGATGACACAGTCAGGCGGGATTAGAAATAACATACGCAAAAATGGTTATGCCAAGCCCATTAGAAGTACTTGTACCAAACTAGTCTTGGTAGATGTTGCCATTTTAGTGGTCACTCATAAATGCTCTCAAAAGTCAAACTTCTCAATTTTTGAGTGAGTAACTTCGAGCAAATTTCTGTAAAAGAGCATTAGGCTATTTCTCTTTCGGTCAATTTTGACCATCTTAATTAAATTAACGACGTCACTGGTACTTTTATCTTTATATTCGTGCTTTTTAATTTTTTAGACTTCCTGTCCCAAGCGGTTGAATATGGTACTTGGTTATGACCCAGATACGATAACAAAATCGACGTTCATTCATCATATTGCTTCTGGAACACTAGGTGGTGCTGTCACACGGGCACTCATCTCTCCTTTTGATGTCGTAAAAATCAGATTCCAGGTGAAAATTTTTTACTCAGTAAAACCATCAATAACTGAAAGCAAAGCCCCTAGACCAGGGCTACTCAACCGGCAAACCATGGTCTGAATCGGGACCTTTCGAGTGCTAAATTTGGACCGCTTCTGCTTCTTGACTTTGAATGCATCGTTTCTTTTTATTTCACAATCGTGATGTAATGAATTTTTCGGTAAATTACTGATGGAAAATGTCATAGCAATATAGGATTCTCAGATAATTCAAGTCGCTGGAAAACTTAAATATTTATATTTTTTCGGATGTCATTGGGTCCAATATTTCAAAATATCTCTCGTTCCTGGCTACTAAACTGAAGCCATGTCATACCGCTCTTGTATTTTGTCAGACGATACATTTGGAATTATGTTTGCATAATCAAATACATATTTTCGAAATGAACGATCATTTTTAAATTTTGTGTACAGACTTCTAGTGGAAATAGCTGAGTAGTCCTGCTCTAGCCTTCAAATCAATTCAACACCTTTTTTTAAATTTCTGATTGCAGAATAATAGTTTGAGACTGTACATTGCAACACACTTGCTCATTTTTTTATCCAATATTCATGGAAAATTCATCTTTCAAATAACACGCCCCTTTCACACCCCTAATTTTATCCAATTACAGCTCCAATCTGAGGCGGGCAAGGCAAGAAGATACCGCGGACTCTTTCAAGCAACGAGAGTTATATTCAAAGAAGAAGGGGTAACTGCATTCTGGAAAGGCCACATACCGGCTCAATGGCTGTCTATGGTGTATGGAGGAGTCCAGGTATTGTACTTAGTCATAAAACTTTTTTGTACGGCTCCTTTCATTGATAAGAAGCTACTGAGGATTAGGGCTCAGTTGGATTTCATGGCCCTTTTTTACGAAAAATCGTGGCACTGTTCACTCAGTGTTCAGTCTGTAGTGGGTCTTGGCATTTTAATTCTAATACCTGTTCGGGGACTGTCTGTGTTAGCTAAGTGAATATTCCCCTGCCCATAGGCTTCGTCTCTTTACACAACCTGATGTAAAATAGGCGCAACTATTCACATATTGGTACACACACTTTTGGAGCGCCGCACTAGAAGCTTACTGTACTTTATTTTATCTTCGAATTTTGTTTCAGTTTTGTGCGTTTGAATTCTTCACAACGATTGTACATCAGATCTTACCCCACTCTCGCCAAGAGACTGTGAAAAATATGACAACTCACGGAGTGTGTGGTGCGTTATCTGCGATCGTAGCGACTATTGTAGCGCAACCACTGGATGTTTTACGGACAAGATTCGCTGCTCAAACTGAACCGAAAGTGAGTGCTGAACTTAAAGCTTGATGGTGGGAACATCTTGCTAAATGTTTATCAGTTTTTCATGATCCCTGGGACCCTGTTGTCTCTCTTGCAAGGACTCCCAGCACATGTGGGGCCCGTGTTCTACCATAAAAAAAACTAATTTTGCTTTTAATGTGTTTCTATTAGTTATTTTATGCACCAAGTTTAAGAATAAAAAGCCAACAACCAAAAGCAAAAGAACACATTTATAACATTCATAGAATGAAAAGAATCGAAGTTAATTTACTCCAAATTATTGTAGTTGCCAAAAATGGATCCTAGTGAAGGCCATTGCTCATGGCCTCCTGAGTGCTGCTTTGCGGCACCCTTGAGGGCTCAGTTTGACAAACCCTATTTGTTGGAAACACTTTTGCTATTTCGCACTTGCGAATTACCATTTGTGGTTTTTCAGGTTTGAGTCCCCAAATCTGTGTGAAAGGATAACTTGACTCCTTGCCGTCGTGTTTTTGTTATTGTGCATCTGAACAAGTAATTGGTTAACTATTCTCATACCCGCCCTGATCTGGACAGGAGGCCATGGTTCACTTTATTGGACTATTGGGCCGAAGAAGTAAAATATTCAATCAAAATTAATAACTTTTCACAGTCAGTGATACAAAGTGCAAACTGTCAATTTGCAAATGTTTATATTTTAGAATTAAGCAGGCAGTTATAAGTAATGCAGTAACTCTGGTGCATTATGCGCCACCATAAATTTATGCAATTTCAGTAGCTTAGTAGCCATTCGTAACGTATTAATATATCATATTAAAAAAGCTCATTTCTTTTAAGATGTTTACATCAGCGACCAGAGCGGCATTTTTCATGGTTCGGCAGGAAGGATATTTCTCTTTATACCGTGGTTTGATTCCGTCTCTAGTTCAAATCGTTCCATTCTCAGCTATGCAATTTGGTAGTCGTTCGTTTTTTGAAGCAGTTTGGATTCGCCACGGTTTGAAACCAGGTATGACAATACAATTCTTGTTTTGCTTTGCCATACTCCAGCGGTTCCCAAAATGGACCCAATGTTCCATTGGTTGTGTCTGTCTGTATGTTCAAGTGTCTCAACAGCTATAGCAATCAGGATGAAATCCTTTTTGAGTAGGTTGTCTTGTCACCATAGTAATATGAGTTTCACCCACATTCCGGATTGATGTTACGTTCTCAAGGCAGCATTAAAAAAACGCATCAGTTATGAGGAAATTTTTAGTTTTTTCACCATTTTCGAAAATTAAAATCTTGGTACTCCCCTGGTTTATGTACCAGGTTAGGGTTAGGGTGTAATTTTATTCCAATTTTCCTTATTTCAGTTATATTACGAGTTCGGAGACTGTCTGTGTTAGCCAACTGAATATATCCCCTGCCCATATGTTCCAGTAGCTTTATACAACTTGATGTAAACTAGGCGAACAAAATAAGTTACCTCCATATTGGTACACATACTTCCGGAGCGCCAAAAAACCCATCAATTATGGGGAAATATTAAATTTTTTCACCTTTTTTTGAAAATGAAAATACTCCATGCATCATCAGCTGGTGAAGCGTTCGTAGCCCACTCAGTAGTCTCACTGCTGGTTGGCCTGTGCGTTTGCAGGTTCGAACCCCATGTGAAATGGTTGCGTACAAGAAAACTACTGGACCGGGTACCCCCTGTTATACATTAGCAATCCTTGAACTGACCTTCAGTATCGCCGCCTGCCAGCTTGCTTTTTCAGTCAATTCCAGTTTGATTCTTCAAGTTCTTTTTTTAAATGTTTGCTGAAGATCGAACATACCCTGACTGCACAACCCTGCTTTATTTAATACAAATGATATCCATATTTCAGGGAATTTCAGTGAATTTATATGTGGAGGGTGCGCTGGTTTACTTGCCAAGACATTTGTTTATCCATTAGATGTTGTAAAGAAAAGATTACAGGTTTGTATTTGCTCAGACTGAATGGTCATTCCACAATTATCCTGTCCATCCTGGGCAAAGGCATGGATATGTATATATTTTCATTTCTGCTTTCATTTTATTGAGCCTGTTTGCCTGAATAGCTATAAAAAAAAAACGATTTGATTGATTGATTGTGCATATATTTTGTAATTTAGATTTTTGTTGGCTCTGAATCTGCTGTGGTTAACATATAATAAATCAATGTTATAAATGCTTTCAAAAAAATATTTTCCAATATTAATTATCAAATATGTCAACCTTAAAATGTCTTCCAGAGGCTCTTAGCTCTCATGGCCCGCGTTTATCATTCCAGTGGTATTTATAGTGTTATTAGGATTCTAGATTTCAAATCCTATTATGTTCAAACAATTCATCCTTAGCGAAGTGTAAAATAACCTTATCAAGCAATGAAACTAGTAAGAACTGGGGTTTTCTTGTAAAGTAAAAAGTAGAATGAATTTTGCATAGCATTGTGGCCCCTTCCAACTACTCTGTGACCCCCTTGGGTGCCGGGCCCCCGGTTGGGAACTGCTGTTCTGAAACTATGGTGGCATGAAAGGTCGAAGAATTAAAGTTTTCCAACTCTTTTAGCAACTACAGCCATCTTTTGGTGATGGAGATTTCAGATTGATTGGTCCATTAGCTGCTATTAGGAATAACAATTTTTTATAATATTGGGCAAAATTTAGCAAAGCAATACTCCCAATATACGACATATTTTTTGTTTTATTCAGATCCAGGGCTTTGCGGCTCCAACAGTCAGTCAAATTCGTCACTATCGAAGCTTTTTTCACTGTTTCAGTGCAATATGGAGACACGAAGGCTTTTTAGCTTTTTTCAAAGGATTCAAGGCGGCTGCTTTGAAATCATCTCTAACGTCGGGACTCGTTTTTGCCACTTATAGGTTTTTCAGGGAACAATTTGAACCAGAAAAAACTGATAGTGGTGGATGATTTAAGTTGATGATTACGAATTTCACATTCATCGTGCGAGAAAGGATAAGACGACTCAATCATGTGGCGGACTCTGGCCTTCTGTACCGTTACCAGTTCATGTCAAGTATGGGCTGTTAATCTTATATGTATGGACTTGATGGTGGAGGAATCCAACCAACGAGTATGTTAACCACCCCCTGGCGGAGGCCAGCAATCCTCTCACAAATAATTCTACCGCATAGGATTCAAACTTGTGCAGAGTAATCAGGGGGGTACTTCCGTAGTATGTGTACCTGGTAAGGGTTTGGCCATAATTTCTTTAATAGCCAAGTGAATATACCCCCTTACCCATATGTTTTAGTTCCTTTACGCAACTTGATGTAAAGTAGGCGAACAGAATTAGTTACCTCCATATTGGTACATACACTTCTGGAGCTTCATCAGAGGTGTATTAACTTTGTGCTTAACACGATGTGCCAACCGTCAAGCTAAATTTGAACTAAAGAAAAATTAAATCCAATTCTGTGTCATTTAAGTTCAATGTCTCCTGGTTTGTTCAAAGTTGACTGAATTAAATCCGAGCTCAGCTATTGTGATATCTGATAAACCAAACGATGGTTGAAAATTTTGGCTTTTTTAGGCTCGTTTTTCTGCTATTAGAAACTTTTAATTGCAGATTCAGCTCTATTCCAAAATAGTTAGTTAACTCGGAACTTGAAGAGATTTGACTCTGTAATTCTCTAAAATTCGTGGCTTAGAATTTGTGGTGCCCGAGCCCAGATTCAAAACCAATGACTCCTACTATCTGTTTTTTGTTGGACAGGGACCCAATAACTTTTATTTGATATTTAGAAATATTATTTTAAATGTGTTTGTACATCTTTGATAAAATATTAGAAAACTTAGAATTATAATCGTTCACCATTTTTGGCCCCTGGTTTAAAAACCTTGCCCCCCCCTGTTATAGACACTAGAATTATTGACTAGAGACAAAATTATTCGTCAAAGACTCAAGAGTGACTCAAAAACTAATCGACAGCGAGATAATCAATATTTGGTTAGAATACAGGACTCGACTTGATGTTAAACTTGACTTGAGGTTCAGGGACTCTTTTACCCAACACATGTCAATATGCCAAACTACTGCTCCAAATTTTAAAAACCAACTTTATGTCAGTAAAGAGTTATCTTGAATTGCAAAATTATGTTTAGTATATATTGTGATTTTAATTGCTTCTGTATGTTAAGCGAAGCCATTTATTTGCTGGTTGAAAGGCTACCAAGGGCGCAGTACAAAAATGGTTCTTCGGCTCTATCAGTCCCATGTTAAAAAAAATAATTTTTGGTAACAGAAGCTTCTGCATTTGCTTGCTTTCTTTGTCTGTTGAAAGTGCTGAATCAACTTGGTGCTCCTGCTTTGTTATTGTTGGTCAGATTACCCAAGTCTCTTTTGAAAAGCTCTTTATTTATTCATTCATATTAAGTTCCATAACTGTATATTTTACTCAAAAACAAACACTGATGAGGTAGCAACTAGAAAAGTTACTACCAGGATGGTAACTTCTGACCACTCAGTATTTCCCTACCTTTCTTGATAAATTTCGGACTACTATTTCGGACTACTCTCTCTCACTGTGCCTGAAATCTCTGTTTTCGTTATTTGTTCAATCTAGCTAGTTTTACATTCAAGTTATACTCTCTAGCCCAAGGTTTCCCAAACTGGGGTTCGTGATGACTGTGCATGGGGTCCGAAACGATATGAAAAGAGTTTATAATGTATATAAATAAATCACAATATCATTGAATTTTCGTTAGCCTGCCAGTATTCAACGTTAGTATGTATTGATTTAGACTTTCATGAGTTTTATTTCATCAAAGAAACATTATCCTTCCTCATTGGTTAGGCACAGAAATTGATACGGCAAAGGATGGGTGTCCGTCAAAAATAAGATTCGCAAACAGTGGTTCCTGGCTCAAAAAGTTTGGGAAACCCTGCTCGAGCCCACCGATTCTTAACTAGTAAGCCCAGCAGTGGGCCACAGTAGCATTTCCATGTGTGCCACAAACCTATTAAAAATTGGTAGACTTGTTGCTAAATTTAGTTGAATTTGATGGTAGTAATGAATGATGATGCTGTTTTTTGTTACAGGGTGGTATTTTTCTCTTAATTATTAGAGTGAAGCTGTCTATGTTTGCAGAAAGAATTTTTTTTTTCGTTGTAGTCATTCCCTAGCTTGAAAAAGTCAATGGGCCACATAATTTTTGCACAACAAAAATGGGCCACGAAAAAACAAGGTTGAGAACCACTGCTCTAGTCTTTATACACTGATACAAAGCAGTTTTCAACACTCAACCAACAAAAATTGTCCCTCCCGGTTACGAATTCCTGTGTTTTCGTCTTTGTTTAATTAACGATGGATGAACTATGATGGATGCTTAGCTTGTTAATTAGTTAGTAATACGCACAACTCACACCCAGCCTTTCGTACAGTTTGAATAGTTTATAAAGTGTGGTGCATAAATAAATACTACTCCCCTGGGGATGAACTCTTCTCTAGTGCGGGAACATTGACTTAGCCGCTGCCCACTGGGCCATCCACTGATACTGTATTAATTCACTTTTAATTCTTGCCAAGCTGTAGCAACGAATATATTGCGCAATTCTTGCTTCCATTGCTATGTTTATTTTGAATATTTATTGTTGCCATTGTTACCTTGATTTATTGCATTTTTTAATAATTTTATCTACAAAGAAGTGATTTTCTAGATTTCGAGGGCAGAAGAGAATAGATAAGACAGTGATTTTTAAGATTTTCTTGACACGCGCCCTCAAGGATGTGTGTAATCTATCCCCCCCCATTTTATTGTCGAAAGTTGTAAATATTGTTTTTATGGTTAATAGTCAATGATTAGGGGTTTGGAATATTTCACACAAAACAGATTTCGGACGACAAAGCGTAGCTGCACACAACAAATTGTTTGTTCAAAATATTTTGGAATTTTGCAATCTGATAAAACTAATTACTCCCAACGCAATAGAAGCTTCGGTTTTAGTGAAACCTCGCATTTTTTCTATGGTAGGCGAGTGAAGTAGCGACCTTCTTCAATCTACCTTCCTTGTAGAAGAATGGATGGACAGAATTCACATATTTATCCCGGGTAGAGGAAAGCCGATTTCATGGCGTAGTCACAAAGCAAACCGCGACCTCTCTTCCGGTAACTAGTCCGTCAGGTATTGGATTAGATAGTTATTTGTTTCAGATGCATGGATTTGGTGGTGGAGGAAGCCATAACCGACCAGCGGTTACGTGAGGTGTCCAGCAATCCTCTCGCACTTAATTATCTCCGACGGGATGCGAACCCACGCAGGGTAATCAGAGGTGCGCCTTACCGTAGAGATGTAGAACTCAGGCTTGTATACAGTCTTGCTTTGTAGAAAGAGGTGAAATACAATCTCCTTATAGATTTTCTCAGGCATAGATTACTAGGGATAGGAATCGTTAGCCGGTAGAGGTAAACTGTCACAATCTACTTTTAACCTTGAAACGGCGTTCCAAGGAAAATCGTTTTTGAAACCCAACAAAAATTGTTTCTAAAATAATTGTTTTCCAAAATTTTTTTTTCTGTGGCTTTTGATTCGAAAGAATATCATTGGTAAACAACAAGAAAATGTAATGGTTATTGTCAATATATTTTCGTTGTTGTATTGTATAAAGGCCCAGTCCCTAGCTTGATTACCGACTCCCAACAACGGACAGAAAGAAATCTGACTTCAGCAGCACACAAATCGATATAATATCGCCTACTTTATTAACACAATTCTACAGTATGTTATTGATATAGAGCAGGGGTCACCAAACTACGGCCCGCGGGCCGGATCCGGCCCGCGTCGTCATTTTATCCGGCCCGCAATAACACACAAAAGTGGCCAAATATTTTTCCAAGAAAAATTTTCTCGAGCATCGTCTTCCTTGTTTATTTCGTAACATTGGCCAATCAGCAAGATGCAAAAAAAATGACGTAATAATGGGCCTTTTCGCATCCGCTCAGACCCTTTCGTCACCCTGACAGATTTTCAGTCGTGGTTGTAAAAAATACTTCGTTTTTGCGATTCTGAATGCTATTCGTTAGTTTCTGGTTGTGTTTGGGAAATTTAAGTATGAATCAAATAAGTCAATCATCATTTGCCTCTTTAGGAGTTGTAGTTTTAATAGTAGTAATGAAAAACTAGTCTAAGAAATAGCTGTGACAAAATAGGCTAAAATTTTCTACCGGGAGGCAACGTTTTCTGCGAAAGATGCACTCGCCGAAACTGTATACGTCTTCGTGCTAAAATGAACGTCGAATGTGCATTTTGCGCTAACAGTACTGTAATCCGCCGCGTACTGCTCCAATTTCACAAGTCACACTAATTTTTGTACTGCTTAAATGCGGATATTCATGTAGGTAAGTTACAAAACTGCCAAAAATAAAAACTGCGCCAGTGGATAGATCTGAGTAAAAAGAAGAAAACAATATCCAGTTTATAAAAAGCTTTTTTTGATAAGAACTGTAATAAATATGAAAAAAAAACACACATATCAATCACTAATCTTTCAATCTGCGTCACATCTATGGAATATTGAGACTATTTAAGGATTTTATTCTGGCAACGGTCTTGACACCGCCGAAAGTTCGTCGCAAATAAACGCTGGAGTTGTGCATGATGTTTGACAGTGGTTCTTTATGGGTAAAATTTAACGATGTTCTGATTGTACAAACTCCATAAAAATTGTTAAGTATCATGTATCAAGTTGGGAAAGAAATACACACGTCCACATAAATTTTATTGGTGTCCATAGACAATATCATTAATTTGCACCACGTATAACTTGAGCGTAATTTTAAAAGCTCCGAATGTTGGGAAATTTATGCGCTAATGAATAAAAATCAAATACCAGATAATAGTTGTTTATTTTATCTAAATTATGTCGAAATTTCATGGAATTCCATGCTACAGCAGGCAGTCCGTAGTCGTGCAACGTTATAGAATTTAATATTCAAGTCTTCAGAAATGTAGAATATCTATTGTTGAATAAATTGAATGGATTTCCCAATTTTTGTGAATTTATTGTATTGCATTGACAAAAATATTTGTCCGGCCCGTTTCAACACAGTTCGAGTCATACCCGGCCCGCGTTCAAAAAAGTTTGGTGACCCCTGATATAGAGTCCAAGGTTGTCGGCTCCGGGGGCCAAAAAATTATCTTTGCATTATTCTCAGGCCACAAAAGTGCCAAGAATAGGTAAAGAGTGCAATACAAAACAAGCACATTTATTGTGCAAACGCAACATGCAAAAACCTGCGAAACAATTTGTTTCAGATTTAATAATAAGAATCTAAAATATTTAACAAAACTACAATGCAGAATCTTCAAATACGAATGTCACCAAAGTGGTTTTATGTTTCCAATGCAGAAACTAAGGATTTTCGGGTAATTTTAAATATATAAATTCTCTAAATTTGAAATACCACAGTTCTTTAGAGGCGATTAGTTGCTTCGTTGAATCTAACAGACTGTTTCATTGTGCCCCATGGTCTGTCCGAATGTACCCCACAGAGGTGCAGTGGTACACTTGACAAACGTTTTTTAAAGCATTTTGGTGGTAAGATGTTTGTCGCTAGGGAATATCTTGGTCACTGAATAAAAACTACATTTATCCCTCTATGCATCAGTACCGCAATGTCAAATGAAAGTACAGACAATAGTTCTCAAAAGATGCGAAAGAAAACAATGGCCTCAACCTCCCCCTACATTAAATTCTTCTCTAAGTAGTAGGAGATCTAATCTTGATTGCCCAGTCATAACAATTTGTTTTGTCCTAGAGATACAGGCCTGCAACTCGAATACCGTACAACAGCCAATAGTTAGAAATTTAATTTGTATGACAAACTCGTTTTTTTCCAATTTAAAGAATATGAGCAAAAAGTTTTACAACTAATAATTTTATTATTTGACAGAATTACTAAAATTCAATCAACTTGTTATGAATATGGCTACAAATTATTAAAAACTATTATATATTTATGAAGGTGAAAAACGGCTAACTAATCCCATACCTGAGATGGATGGACTGGTAACCGGGCAAAATATTTTCTCCTATGTCATTCCTAATCATGTAAATCCTGGATGCGCAAAACGTTTGAGAACGCGCGCCAATAGAAGATCGTAATAGTAAAGGTCGATGAGCTGCGGGCCGCTCAAACTGAACACAGTATGTGTACCCGGTTAGGGTTAGGAGCATCGAGCTGCGAGCATGTGCACTTCAAGTCTGATAGTTCTGGGTTAAATCTGCAAGGTAAATGTGTTTGGAGATCAAAAAGTACACATCTCAATACACATTGTACAGAGAATGTAATTAAGCTACTCGATAAACGAGTAGTGATTGAAGAGCAACGACACCTAAAAAGGAATAATAAGTTCCGATTTTTATCTACTCGAAGTAGACTAAAGCGTAGTAGCTAATACGGCAGATATGAAGATCTCGTAAAAATAACATTGCTGGATTTACATACAAATTAGTTTTATTTTTTATTTTTATGATTTCTCTTTACGTAATGCTGAAAATTAAATGTTACACAAATTTAAAACAGACGAATTGGTACAATGTAATAACCGTTATACATATATAGCAATTACTAAGCAAATATAAACATTGCATTCCGATATTTGGAAGCTGAACAATGGAATCCAAACAATCTTAAGTTCTAACATTGACTTGAATGGTTCCCGTTGTGACAATATAAAATGATATTTACAATTTAAAATCACACTGAAAAGCAAGGATTAGTGATAGATTGAAAATTAACGGAATTGATACTAACAATTCGTTCTAGGTATATGTAGTCTCATGTTCTAATTTGGCTTGAATAGTTCAAGTTATTCTAAATAAATTACAATCGCACTAAAAGAGCAAAACTATTGATAGATTAAAAATTACTGGAGCTAATACAACAATGCCTTCTGGATATACGTAGTATCAACAATGGAATTCAAGTATTCTCAAGTTATAAAATTGAGAAACAAAACATAATAATCTATTGAAAATTCGCTGTTTTGATCAAACACGTAGGATGAATAAATCCATACAAGTTCTCAATCAATAAAGTGATTGTCAATCATAATCGTAAAGGGGATCAGGTTGGCGTGGGATATTCAGTCATTGTTTCAACATTTAAAGCAATGGAAGCCAATCCCTGAATGTCTTTTCCACCCATTGTTTCAACAACTTTCCAGGAGTTTACAGCGGGATCATATTCTTCTATTGTATTCTTGGAATTCAGACTGCAATGAATAACGGCGAAATCAAAATATTGAACGGTAAATAAAAGAATCGATATATAAATATATTGGTTAAATTTTTACTTATTTTATTACTTTCTATTGAAATGAAAATTGCACAAATAAAAGCTAGCAAAAGGCCCACTTTGGATTGGATTTCGGTTTACTTCAGAGATGGAAATCACCCAATCCGGGTTGCAAATAATCATGCCGGACTGTGAAAATCGAATTTTTCAGTCATAGCAGATTTATTTAAACGATCGAATGGTTGCTTATTCAGAGCTTGAATTACTAATACACAGAATAAGTTGTTTTCACTTTTGGTCTAAGCAACATGTTGATTAACTAATAGATACGTGCAAAAATCTTAGTTTATAAATAAAGTTCCAACTCACCCTCCAACAGCAAATATCTTTCCTTCAACAACACAGGCTTTGAAATATCCTCTTGGATTGTTTAATCTGGCAACTGTGGTCCATGTTTCAGAAACTGTGTCAAAGCATTCCACAATGTTCAAGTAGTCATTGCTTTGTCCACCTTGCAAAATAATAACAACGATGAAATTATCTGATAAGTTTATTTGGCTATGTACTACAAGATTCCTGCTGCACACTAACACAAAGTGTTAAGCAGGGATTGAGGCAGGAATATTCTTGAATTATGAAGAACTCATATATAAAGATATATTGAATTTGCTGGAGTACTTTGCGAGTACTTTTGAACAGAGTTTGAAAGAGCACTTGGCCACCAAACTAACACAAAATTCAATAAAATATTTAGGTGTTAAATTATGGAACTCTTTGGCTGATAGTATTCGAAACATGAATTACGATGCATACAAACAAGCATTGAAAAAGGTATACCTAGGCGGCTATATACTTGATCCGTCAGCTTTTCAAATAATATGATTTCCCTTCCCTGGCGTATTGTATATATCAGTATATAGACGTTCATATAGTCTCCGTAACGTACGGCACCCTTCCGGTCTTGATGCCTCGCCCTGTTACCGGTACTGTGATGGGATATTGTTCCGTACAAATTCCGATTTACTTGAATTCTTGCTGTTACCATATACAGTTATTTTTTGTGTGATCCTACTCCACTAATAAAATGGTCCTTACGTTTCGTATCCAATATGCCTCAGTAGGCTACAACAACCGGCTTTTGATCGCTGCTAGCAACGAGCTTCATTCATTTCTTGTTACGGTCCATGAACGCACAGTTGAACCCCACGAGGGCGCTGTCGCGTGTATTATTACTCTGGTGGTATTTTGTGATTTTGTTTCTCTGTTAATTATGATTGATTAAATTTGTATAATTTTTTTTTGTCATTCCCTCTAAATCTCCAGCCCATAGGTGTCGCTGACTCGATGACTGTCACAGTCTTTCGCGACTCCTTATCTATTGCTATGAATCTCTCACTTGTATGAATTCTAATGTGTATATTTAATTTTTTACGATTGTCATTATACACGTTTGTCAATTTTTCGTGCTTTAAATTTTGTGTTAATTCTTGCATGATAGAAATAAATTATCTGAATCTGAATCTGATATCTATGTAATATTAACCCCATGTTTATTGCGACAGAGATATCAGTGTTTAGTATGAGTAAGTGAACCGTTTGCTTATGCTACATTGAAAGTGAAACTGTTAATTTGCAAGAGAACTGTACACCTGAATAGCTATTTATCGACCACCTTATTTGCAGTGTATGCGCAATACAAAATGTATTGAAGAAAAAATCCTCACCCATGACATAAATCTTCCCATCAAGTTTAACTGCAGCTGCACAGTCTCTTGCAGTCGGCATTGATGGAAGTGTCGTCCATGTAGAATCTGATGGCTTGAATTTTATAGCATTTGATATACGCCCATCTTTGTACCCTCCAATACAGTAGATGAAACCTAAATATCAATAAAGAATAACTGGAACTAATAAAGAATAACTGGTATTCAATGAGGATATCACTATTTTTGGTAAGCTAAGACTCTCTGAGACAAATTCGATGCAACCACAAGTTTATGCCTCATATCTTATATATGGAACCAATGACATAAAACAACATGATGCGCAACTCCGGCATTTTTGGCCGAAGATCGTATTCGATAGCACGCTCCAATGCACATACTTGACGAGACGAAAACGAGCGGATGTGTGTTGCTTTCAAGGCATAGCACGAATGGTGTTCGAGGTTGCTTCGACAATTGTTGTGGTTTTTAATGATATGTGGAAAATTGAAGGTAAAAATAAATCGGAAAAAAGTAAGGTAAATACTATTGTTGTATATCACACCCGGGCATCGCACTGTTAAGTACATGCGAGGAAGCCAGCTTTTGTCAAATACTACGAAGTTATTAATTCAGTACGGTACGTAGTTGCCCATTTGCCGAAATTGCATATTTACTTACCCCTTATGGTTTCAAATAGTTCATGCACCTCCATTTAGATTTTTTTAATCAGTGAGGATATATACTTATTGCTGTAACATACTATTGCTCATTCACTTTCGTTTGCGTATTGAATCAACGGGTTAACAAGTTCACCTAAAATTTCCTCAAACCGGTCTATATTGTATAGTCTGATCTCTCAAGTATTTGGAGCCACGAATGCTTATAATTTTCTGACTAAACCCCTTTATTAGTTAGTTTATATACCAAATTCAGTAAAACATTTTTTACAAAAAACATAAGATATTGGATTTATTAGCTTTTCCATTCTGAATCATATAGACTGCTTTATTTATTCTTAACGAAAATTAATACATCTCCTCTCCTACAGATGTGAAAGTTGTGGACAGACCTGTCTAAGCATTGTGAGACTCCTGCAGCACAAGAGGCAATAGCAATAATAGTGAGTATATCAATCAAGAAATTAGGCCGACATAAAACAAAACTTTCAACTATTCGTCTAACCTCAATTTCCTATTATTTATTCACAGGACAACTGTAGCTGAAGGGGAGATATCAGAAGTCTGGCGACATATCAGTGACAGTTTGATTCCAAGAAATATGATTAGAATACTCCATAAATGTTTGCAATAGAAGAACAACCTATGGAGGAATGCAAAGACATTTGACCCTCCGGTAAAGTTGTGTATGGCCCCTACATCCTGCAGGGCTTGAGGGAAATAACTAAAAATTCCAAAGCGTAAGATTACATAAGCGGTCTTCTTTGTAAAAAGGCACAAAATATGCCAGACATACTTAAAACAGCTTTGAAAAATGAGGATTACGGTTCACTGACTACACCTGTGTTATATTTGGTTCATCAAATTTTGGTAGTACTATAGAAGAAATTCAGAAAAGGGTATAATCATGATTCATGATAAAATAATGTTATATATTTTGGACAACTTCAATCTAGACCAGGGATGTCAAACTCGCGGCCCCAGAGAACTTCCAGTGCGGCCCTCGAACGCTTAACAATAATTGTAATAGTATTTTGGAATTTTTTTTATTTAAATGTAAAAGATTTTTCAAACCTTTTAAAGTGAAATTGAATATTCACACAGAAAACAATTTACTGAAAGTAGTTTTAGAAAGGTAATTTTTTTTTGTTCACATTTTGACTCAATTAAGAATACACATCAAGCTAGCAAAAGAATACTGAATAAAACACTTGAGTGATTAAATTAAAGTACACGAAGAAGGTGGCATTTTCGAAGAAAATGGGAGTTGCAATATTTCTGCATTTCACAAAATTCTGAAGCACATTGTTTAATTTGTCATATTTCCATCAGTACAATGAAAAACACAATAAGCTCAGCAGTCAATATGACAAATTCGAAGACCAACTCCGAACAGAAAATTTCCATGTGTTTGTATATTAATATAAATATACAACGACTTAGTTACTAAAAATCAATATCAATAATAATTCAAGCAATCCTATGCCATGCAATGTAGCGTGAAATGTCTTGTCGAAAAAATCTGTCATTTGTTTTTTTACTGATCTATACATGAAATGATAAAAGTAACTTTTTTGCATTACTGGAATTAATTAAACTTTTGCAAAGATACAGATTAACCCATGATCATGTGACCTCGTTAGTTAGAGTTGGTACTATAAAATCATTTCAGCCTGGCCTTAGTATGCTGGTGACACAAAGAAGATGCCAAACGTCAGGACAAATGTAATTAAAAAAACATTGAGTTTATACTGTAGTATTTTTGTTAATTTTAGGTTCATATATTTAGATTAAGTCATTTTTAGTGTATATATTATTCTTTCCTTAACCAAGGCTTGTTCAAAAATGATTTTGATGGTTGTACATGGAATTTTATGATTTTTTGTAATAAATACAGTAACTTGCAATAATAGTGGAATGCAAATATTAATATGTAATTGCATTTGAAATTAAAGAAAATAATAAAACTTAATCCAACTGATTAGTTGCATCACAATATATGTCACAAACTAAAACTATCTGAAAAATATCTCTCGAGTATACATTATCAAAAACTGTTTGCGGCCCTTTTTACAATTTCCAACATGCAATGCGGCTCTCGAAACCCATGAGTTTGACACCACTGATCTATTCTAGACGATTCAAGCATTGCTTTGGGAAATAATATCACTTCAATTAAATTGAAAAAAAATCTCGCTATATTAAATACAAAACCGTTGCTATCATAAAGGTAAACCAATTCAGCCACTCGGAATATATTGGCCTTCACAAAGCAATGGAGGCAGAATTGAGAGTTCATGAGCTATGAACTTTTGTTCTTTTCTTTGTCTTGAACTTTTCATACTCCACAGCCTCTATTAATTTTTTTTAAATTTTAATTACCATGTGATGGCCATACATACTGTATCTTTGTATTTTCTGTCATGATGTATTATCTCAATGTGTCAAACTTTTAATTAGTGTGTATATTTTGCTTGCAGATGACATGAATGTATTGTCTTGCTTATTACCTCAGCTTGGAGTATTGACAAGAAAAAAGTGCCCGTAAATTACGTAAAAAATGTTTAACTCTTTGATATAATCAGAATTCACATTTAATAGGAATTATAAACAGCCAACAATCAATGAGAATTATATGCAAAATTCCTCAGATTGAATTTGTCTTCTAAAATCGGAGGAAGGCAAAACATATAGGTAGTTTCCATTCACACAAGTCTTTCAAGAAGACTTGCTCGAGACAAACTAAATGAGCATCGTCAGGTGATTGGTAAGGCTGCAAGTTGAATCAGCCCTGCAATCTCCTGCATAGAAGATAATATTAATTAGCGGGCTATGAGCTAAATTCCTAAATTTAGACACAAACCTATCTACGAGGCATTATGTACCAGTAATGTTACCTACGATTAACTGAATATGTAATATGTCTAATAAATTCACCTACTAAAACAAGTTCGATAGGTGCAAACTTTGTGTTATGGAATTGTATCACAGCACCTTTAAGAGAAGTAAAAACAGTTTTGCTGTTTTGTATGACACCCTCTTTAAATGAAATTTCAATGTTTAAGCGCAAACATTAAAATTACTAACTTTGAACTTTGTCATTATCTGCAAAATGTTTCACACAAATCTTTACGCTATCGCGTTTGTAATATTCTCTGATAAAAAAAACGTCTATGATGTTCAGAATTACTCTTTACAGCTTGTCTGCCATTCCAGCTTTCCAAATGAGCAAAACTTCTCAGATATAGAGATTATTTTCTTTCGTTACAGGCGCAAAAAGGCAGGTACTACACGTAAAGAAGACGCCGAGTAGCAAAAGCAAGCGGAAAACCGTCGCGAAAGGCGACGAGAAATATGTGCATTGGAGCGTATCATGAAATACAATCTTTCGCATGTAGTCTTATGGAGTGACGTCAGAGTTGCCTATCATGTTGTTTAATGTCATTGATGGAACAAACTTCATTTTAGCTCAATCATCTTTCAAGACTGAAGCAGGAGATGATGCTTAAAACCAACTAAATTTTTATTCATCTCTTTTTGAATCTAGCTAATTAATTATCTCAAATATCAGCTGAATCGGTAAGACTATTAAAGGCCACAAGTTTGATACTCACAAGTTTGGTACCCAAATTTAATTCCAGCGAACTCATATCAAGTTAGAATTAGAATGCCGTATGCGCAATTGAACAACGATAATGTATAATAATGTTTGTGTATATAGAATATACTTTAAGCTAATCAGTTTTTTCCATTTTATAATTTTTAAATGAAATGAGGATCTTTTACGTTATATTTAAAATGCCGCCTCTGACATTTTGATGCGTTTATGCAGCAGTTCAAACACTTGTGTGGCTGCATCAGCCCATTGCCATTACAGGTAAATACATATACAATTACTAGTCAACGCTTTTACTATAAATAGGATAAGATAGGATTTATATATTCATCCCGGGGAGAGGAAAGCCGATAAGACGGCTTACCCATATGACGAATCACGTTCTCTCGCCCGTTACCATTTCATGGCGGGTTTGGGATTGGTTATTTATTTATTTTTGGAAGCATTGACTTGATGGTGGAGGAAGCCTTAACTGAGCAGCGGTTACGTGAACCACCCTACGGCGCCGAGGAGTCCATCAATCCTCTCGCACATAACCGTCCCCGCATGGGATTCGAACCTGCGAACCCACGCAGGGTAATCATAGGTGTGGTGGCGAGCGTATTCCCAACGCTTAACACGATGAGCCACACTGCTGCGCCTATTAGATATGACCATATAACTATACAAACAGTGTATATTTAGCAGTACAATTTCATCCTTTACTAAACATACCTCCTGCAGCAACTACTGATGTGTCAAATCCTTCCACAGGTTTATCAGTGACATGGGACCAAGTTCCATCAGATGAATCAAATTTCTCAACTGTTTTACTGTTAGAGCCAGAACTATCAAATGCATATATGGAACCTGGTTGTTAGAAAATAAATGATTCAAATGCAAAGAGAAAGAAATAAGTAATCACAGACTCAGCATTCGGAATGTAACAACATGTCACTAAAAGTAGTTCACTAGTAGCTTCGGCTTTTTATCGCAGCTTCTAGAAAGTTATAAGCACTCTTGAATCACAGATAATACGACCACCGGCTTGGTTTACGCATATCCAAGTTAACGGAATATCTAGCGCTTAAAATTGTATTGCCAAACAATTGCATAGGACAACGGACTTTATCTGAATTTTCGGTGTTATTCGGATGAAAATATATAGTGTCACACTGTTCGAACCATTGTGCGGCGCTTGATTTCCGTGGCCGTAAAGCTAAAATATCTCGACTAAAAGCAGAACTGAACTAATAAAATAACAGCAATCCTTTTTTTTTCCAATTTATGACAATTTTCATTTCAGTTAATCAATAAAACAGAGCAAATATGATTCGGAATAACTTACATAGAGGTAATATAAGTTAGATATTAAATTCTCAATTAGAATTCTGAATCTATCAACTTTCTCATGTCTTACTAACCTTTAAATGCAACAGCGGCCACACGTTTCTTTGTCTCCTTCCGATCTGCCAGTCTAACCCATGTAGCATTGGTTTCAATATAATTAAGTTGATAATTGGTCCCATCAATCACAAGAACATATATGAAGTAACCAAGTACTGCAACGGTGAAGCCTTTGCCAACAAATTCGTCACTGATGGCCTGTTGAGAACCGTTCAAATATAATTTTTATGATAAAACCATGGTTACGCATAACATTATTATTTTGGTTTGACCAATTTGGTCTGAAAGTTAATTACTCTGTACACAACATGAATATGCATTGAGAGTCAAAATAAATCAAATTAAAAGGTCATGAGTAGTTTCATTTTTTAATTTCACCATAAAAGCTTGCATGCATTCATTAATCTTTCGGTGGTTTTGACAATTTGTTTTATTGAAAACTGAAATTGTTTTACTACATACTTTCACTTAAAAAAAATCAAACATTCAGAAGATAATTTGGGCAAACCTATAATTGTTTAGAACCTTCTTTTTATTTTTTTCATCAAAACTACAACAATTTTTTTTGTTAAATTGACGTAGTAACATTTGGTGTTATGCGTGTTTCGGCTATAAAGCATAATTCAATTTGTAAAATTTGAACAATACGAGAATGAATAATAAACCAATAACAGTGTCAAACCTGCAGTTTTGTCCAAGTTTTCATCTTTGGATTAAATGCTTGAATTGCTTTTGAATTTTTGTCAAAAACCGCAATCACTGAAAAATAATGAGAAATATTGAACATAAATGGATGAAATAGCAAAAATTAATCTCGTAGATTGTTTATAAAAACAAATGGTATAAGCAATGTTGAGCCAAACACAACTCTTTTAAACTAAACTCAATCCTAATTAAGCGGAGTTGGATCATATTATTTAAAACCAGGAATATCAATACTAAGTCGAATACATTTGAAAGTATTGCCTAATAATAATATTATATCGCTTTAGGAATAATTCAGGTTAGTTTCATTTGATAAATAATCGTTTTGAGCAATTGAAATTTTTCATTTCAACTTGCATGCTGAATTTATTAAATTCATTGAATTTGCGTTGACTTTTATATATATTCGTAGCTGAATATTTGACATTTTTTTCCATATTAGTGAACTATAAATTTATGTTCCAAGCTGAACAGTTTTAAAAAGTATTTTTTTGATTTTCACATATAAATATACTTACCGTTATTTGGCTGAAGTTGACTGGTAGTTATCCCTGCATCTGAAACAAAAAAATGTTGAGTTAAGTTCTAATGAATTTTTGATGGAATTTGAACTAGTGACTTGTGTCATATAATGTATATGTATTGAAAAAGTGTAAACTTATGTCATTCATTAAAATTGAACGAAGTCAATACTTTCAAATCATTATATTATCACAACTAACCATACCTTTGATGTCGATATCTTCAGCCACAACTTGTGATCCACCAGTGAAAGTCTTCAAAAATGCTCTGAGGCAACGATTAGAATTAAATACCAATGGCTGAAATATAAAATCAATTTTATGTGAGCACATAATATAAAACAAATCCATTTGGTTAGAACCGTTAGATTGTCTTTCACACATTATTACTGTTACAGCAGTCATCGTGAGGCAAAATGCATCCAGATTGAATAAACATTTATTTATTTTTCATTCGCTTCAACTATGTATTGGTAACTATTTATGGAATATTAAACTTAACATAATATTTTTTTTACAGTAGCCAATGACATTAAAGCAGATATTATCAAGCCCCAACCAAAATGGAATAATCATAAAAATTTATTCAAAATTAGCGGCTTGCAAATCAAATACCCACAATGCAAAAATTATAATCTAACTTTACAAGTGCTCCTTTGCTCATTGCCAAAATGAACAAGTTTAGAGCACCAGTTTTTTTGAACTATCCAAGACCATAAAATTAATTTTCGCTTATTTTATCTACCACAATTTGTGTGATGTTGTCACTATTTTAAGCCCAGCATATTCAAAATAAATGATATCATTATATATCGTCAGAAGAATGCAATGCAATTGCAAGTTCAGCAAAGCCTAGTACCCACCTAGCTGATTATCAAACTATCATATTTTTATTCTCATTTCCTGACCTCTTTCTCCAACAAAAACTTCTGATATTTCCTTGATATTTTTGTCAAATCCAGATTACCAAATAATTCTTCAAATGTTGATGCCCGAGCCTCGGCATCGAAGTTGGTCCAGATGATCACGGCTTTGCACTTGACAGCTTCAGAGGCCTACAATTGGAAATAAAGAATATTTAAAAAATATTTGGAAAGATTTCATTGCTTTAATTGTTATCCTGGGCTATATGTGATGAATAATAAACAAGCTACATCAGATTTATGTTGGAATAGGCATGAAAAAAATACAGCCCACAAAGATGAGCAATTCCGAAAATACACTTTTATCACTTCTTACATTGACTTCTTTTGATTCCAATAAGAAGGAAACATAATCTTTATCCAAATGTTTAAAATCGTCTTCAGCAGCAATTAATTGAAAATTCCTCAGGGCATATTTGTTGCAGCTTTCAACTAAACCGGTGCAGTTGAAAGTGTTTGCAATCATCTTTGTTGAATAGAACGATTCCGGGGTCAGTTCTTCCTCGAGGGATATGGCAATTTCGTCACACATACCTGTGTATGAAACACATAAAAAAAATTTCCCATATAAACCAGAAAATAACAATTTTCGAACCGGAGTCTGATTTTAAAATATTTGCCCCGGTCCATGTAACTTCTGAATGAATTAAAATGGCTTGTTTGACACTATAGGAAATATCCCAAAATTCGAATTGCAAAACATCAGCATAGGTTTCACATAGCTCATGTATGTGTATTCTAAACTACCAATATATTGCTGTTGGTCATCACAGCGAATGCTCTACCACTGGCAAAGCTAAATCTGCTTTCAACTCATCAGAGATGTGAATTTACGAAAATTACTATGAAAATTATTTGCGAAAACTATTCAGGAAAAATTACAATAAAAATTACCATGTGCACCCACCTTGTAATTGGAGCATATGAGCGGTAAACATCAATTGTTCACGCCCCTCGCGACCAGGAGTGGGAAAATTACCAGTGTAAATGTAATTGATGCAAATTTTCACACTTGAGTATTGAACTTGTTTCATTTTCACAATGCCAGTGCTGCTCTCAACATTCTGAAATATGACACGATGGATTAAGTTTATTCTCTTGATAATATTCTGAGGATCTTGGTTCAGTTAAGCAGTTATCAATATTTTTCAATAGGACGGAGAATGGCATTTTGTCTAATCATTAGTTATACAAGTGAATATATTCTATGTCTATTTCTATAACTTATTACTTGATAAATTATGGTTCAACACTCACTTCATGAGACAACATTGCACGAAAATAATCTGATCCTGCTGATAGAACATTCCTGTGTGCTGGTATTTTCTCATCGCCAACCATAATTACGAAGTCACTATGCCCTTTGCTTTCTCTCTGTCTAAAATTGATACAAATAATATCGCATGGATAAGATAGCCGTTTTCATAATTATTTCAACACTAGAGAAGCCTATAAACCATTGGTTCTAAACCGAAGGCCCGTGGCCCCCAGGGAGACCATGAAGCGGGTTTACAAGTGGGATACACAAGGATAAAAATTGATTATAAGGCGACTTCTTTTGCATACTTTCCATTTTAAAGAAAATTCCCCGTCCACCTTAGTTTTATTAGATAAATAGGTTTTTCACTTTTTTTGTGCGTGAATCGTTTGATGCTAATGGGATTTGGAAACTACCAATCAAAATAGTTTGCTGATCAGCCGTATAACCTGCAGAGGGGCTTCACTAGACTGAAAGATAATCGGAGGTATCGTATTATAGATGTAGAAATCTATATGTAATTACTAATGCCCAAAATACAAAAATAGGACGACAGTTACGTTGGCTTTGGTTTTACCAAAATAAATCGAGATGGCAGAGAATGAGCGCAATTCCTACGTTGCTCCGTATATAATAGGCAATAAATCATTACGTCCATCTGAACCCAAAACCGAGAAGCTCATTAAGCCATCTGCGGAGAATATTCTGGCCCCAATGAAAACAGAAAGATTCGGAAAGTTTCTCATTCCAAAAAATACGAAGCTTTGACCTTCTAGTCTGGTTTGTTTTTGCATTTAATGGTCGTAAATACATAATACACTCGAACACGTCCAGTTTTTTGGAATGGTGAGCAAGTCCTAAAAGCCGCCGAAATGGGGCCGTGAGACATAAAAAGTTAAGAATCACTGCAGTATGAACATCCTTGTTTGGTTGTCACTCTGAATTACTTACAGGAAGAGTTCAACAGTCAATCGTTTCGAACACCCGTGAATTCTGCTCTACTAATTAAAACACTTATTTTTCTTTACTCTGATCATCTCAGGTTACAAAAAGTCAAGTTTAAATGGGTTAATGCCCCCCGTCTTTTGTTTATCTTATGTTTGTGGGCCGGAAAAGATCGAAAAATTCGATTATCGTACCAAAATGTTCAATTTTAACAAATTTGTGAAAATTCGAACCACAAAAATTCGGAAAATCTTAGAATATCACCGCAATATTTTTAATGCAACAAGTTGCTATGTTAGTCCTCTTCCCGTAGGTAAATTCATATTTATGCCTTCGGGAGCTGAGAACCCCAAAAAATTTGATTATCTTAATAAAAGCTTCAATTTTTACAATATTGCCAATATCCGAACCCAAAAGTTCAAAAAATTGCAGGACATCATCACAATTTTTTTATTGACACAAGTTGCTATGTTAGTCCGATTTTCCTGGGTAAATTAATATTTATTTTCCCCGGAACGGAAAAGCCCGAAGAAATACGATTATCCTGTTAAAATTTCCAATTTTTCGAAATTGCGAAAATTCGAACCCAATAAAGTTCGAAAAACCGCGTAATATCACCGCCATTTTTTCGTTGCCATAAGTTCTTATAGTAGTTTACTTTCTTCTCATTGTTTAATTTATATTGTTGCCCCCGGAACCGGAAAAGCTCGTAGAATTCGATTATCTTACCAAAATTTCCAATTTTTGAGAAAATTGTCAATATTTGAACCCAAAACGTTGAAAAAAAATCGCAGGATATCGGCACAATTTTTTTTCTTGCAAAAAGTTGCTATGTTAGTTTTCTTCCTATGGGTAAATTCATAATTTAGCTCCCGAGACCAGAAATACCCAGAAATTCGATTTTATCACCTAAATTTCCAATTTTTACAAAAGTGACAATATTCGAGTACATAATTTCGAAAAATCGCAGGATATCACCACAATTTCATTTGTGATAAGTTCTTATGTTAGTACTCTAATTGGTCAATTCATATTTTTGCCCATGGGACCGGAAGGTCGCAGGATATAAGCACAATTTTTTTGTTGCTATGAATACTTACATTAATTCTCTATTCATTAGTGAATTAATATTTTAGCCCCTGAGGTCGGAAAAGTGCCATTAGGTTTCACCAGACCCTGAATATGATCAATCAGAATGAATGCAATATTAACTGATCAGAGAAATCAAGTTTAATTATTTGTACCTACTCATTAAGTGCCTTCATCATTTTTCCACAGTGCATCAAATTGTATGCATCAAGAGAACCCATTTTTAGTTTTAAGTAACTTTAATTTTCAAATTTTTAATTAACTTTACTATTTAACTGATCTAGCAAAAACTAAATAATAAAGACGATTTTTCAGAGAACGGTAGCTGTGTGGATAACACTGCCTGCCTTTTTAATCTATCCCTTCCTACAAATAAAAATTGAATTTACCTCATAAAATCAATTCTTTTTTATTAATTGCTCACAAAAATGCTGGCTGAAATGCAGAATGATTATATTAAATCTTATTACTAACTTGTACTTTATGATTTCAGATTATGCAACGCTGCTAATAGAATCTAGATATATCTTTAGCTCACATTTGAAGAGCCTTAGACAATACAAAGTACTTTCACAAAGTCCAGTTGATTACAAGAAAATCTAATTAAGTTGCGATACTATATTAACATGCTAACTGCTATATGGCTACGCCCTGTTATGACAGATTTCAATATTTGATGTAGATCGTAAAGAATTCTTCGACGTCAAACTATTACGGGGTAATTAAATAGTTTTCATGTCTGATACAAGAATAAATATTGCCTGAGAACAAAGTCCCTAAATATATTTACACAATATCGCTGGGAGTCTTATTACTTGGTACCGTGCGTTGTATGATGAGTTAATAATTAACAACAGTCAACAGACTTACATAGAGAATATGCCTTGTAAGTGGGACATAGTTACACATGAAATGTTATTTCAACATGCTTCTATATCACTTTCTTTAAGTGAATCACACATTTCCTCTGAACAAGGCTCTACATAAGCAACCATTGAGACATGAGTTGATAGAATAACTCTAGCTAATAAGCCTTCAATAACCCAAATCCTATGAAGTATTTTTACTAGACTGACCTTGACAAGACCAATATGGTTTAGGAATTCCAGAAGTTCAACTCAAGTTTCACTTGAGGCACCCTAAGCCGTAACAGTAAGCTTTGTGTATTATTTTGCTTAATAAAAAAAAAACTGATTTAGGAAACCCTGCATCAGAAGCTAAGTTTATTTAGAAGTGTAGAGCTAATGCACTATGATAAAAGAGTTGATACAGGGCTCAGGATCGAGGTAGGTGATTTCCTAATTTGCCAAAATAGCAAGTATTTGTGTGGCGTCAAATATTTTTAATAAGACTTAGATCTGCCATTTTTTAAGTTTGTTACCATCCTCGGGAAATTCCCTGATACATTGGGAAACCCGCTGGACATCATGATTTTCCATGCGTTCAAATGACTATCATCTCGCTGGCTAATATAAAATTTGTGACGCAACAATCAGCAAGTCAGCATTGTGGACAACTTCACTTTGCTTGTAGTTTTAATTTTTATGCGTCAGACAGTGCTGGATTAACCATTGAGCAATACAAGCACCACGTGCTCAGAGTAGCAAGGGAAAGGGGGCTCAACAGAAATAGACGATTCAGAAAACGATTTTCAACTATTGTTCATCGCAGATATATAAACGTGTAGCTTCGGACTTGAATATCCCAGTTACAACCTAAATTCCACTACACTTCATCGAAAACTCATATAGACACAGACGTCGAACGCTAGGACGTTTTCTTTTATAATAGCCAGGGATGCCATCGTTATGAACTCAAGAATAAGGACATCTTGAAAACATAATAATAAGATCACTAAATTTGAAGTATAGTTAAACCGGTATATTCATGTTTGTCCATAGCACTGATTCTCAACAATGGTATTAAGTTATGAAGTCGAAATTAACACATGTTGAAATGCTCATAGCGATTTTAGGTGCGAAATATCTTATGTTATTCATATTTTGGGCTTTTGGCTAAATATCTGCGTGACCGACAAGTCAATTATATCCTGCAAATATAATGTTACTCAAGTTTACGGCAAGGGAGTGAATAGAAATGACATAAAATATTCACTATGTGATAAACTTCCGGCTAAGAACATTTTATTTCACAGATATAATTCGATATTGCGGGATTTTACTGTGCACTTGATTCATGTTAGCTGTTATATTTGCTGATAATGAGGTATTTTACTGAAAATTTAATTCAAATCGGCTGTTATTACGGTATTTACTGTGGTATTTTTATTTGCTGTGCTATTTTCGTATTTACTCGTGTTTATTTATTTGTTTGTGTTATTTAATATGGATCATGGTGGTCAGGACTCTGGAGTATAAACGAATTGAATTCAAATTATAAACATTTGTTCTGGGCAACCTCAATATGGCGCAGGGTTATATTCTATCACTTCATTCATGTAAAACAATAGACGGACGCCTTTTTCAACATTTTAAAGCAGTTTGAACTTAAGAAAATGAGCTACCAACGTATTTTTAAAGATAGTTAGCTACATAGCTACATTGGAAAAAGCTGGGAGCACTCGAACAGCTGGCAACCAAAATGTTTGATATTTGTTTAATTTTAAAACTTCTCAAAAGGTGTTGGTAAAAAGGGTTATAAAAATTTATTGAAACTGGTTTTGGGAAACTATGGTCACTGTAGCAGATGTGGAATGTAACTACAGACTGATAAATGGCTACCACGCATTTTTTCATCCTACAGAAAATACAC